ATCCAGAAAAGTTGTTGGAACTGTGGAAAGCACGGACATTTGAGGAGCCAGTGTAGGAAGAATATTACCAACAAGTCAGCCTCAAGGAGACCATTAGTGGTATGTGTTGAGGGATGCCTACCAACTCCCATCGTGAAGGTCCTAACAGCTAGGTGTAAAATACCAAGCACACATAGTGTCTACGTGATAGGAAAGCTGGATGGCCAAAAGTGCAACTTTGTCATAAATTCTGCATCTCAGCAAACCCTTGTGAGCATCAAGGTGTTAGATCACGAAGGAGTACCAGAAGCCATACAGAAGCTTTATGGTGTGACAGCCACACCTGCAATGTCCATCTGTGCTTCGATAGTTGCACCCATTAGGTCTTATTTCCCCTCCAAGTACCTCTTCAAATAATTGTTGTGGTAGATCTTGGTCTTCCCACCCACTTTCACCTTATAGTCCATTTCCTGCACTTCAAAAGGCCCTTTGCACTGCAGGATGAGTTTGTTATTGTTTGTCGGTAGCAGAACCAAGACCTTCTGTCCAACCTTGAAATGTTGATTCTTGGCCTTCTTGTCATAGAAGTGCTTCTAACTGTCTTGAGCTGCATACAAACTTTTTTGAGCAAGTAGACAAGTGTCCTCCAGTCAGTGCCTGAGGTCTAACATGCACTGGTATGTGTTCCTCATATCTGACTTTTCTTCTCTTATCTACAGTTCTTTCAATATCTGATACTGGACCTAGTGCTGTTCTTCCATACAGAAACTTGAATAGTGAAAATCCTATAATCACATGTGGGACATCTCAGTAAGCAAATAATACTGCCTGCAGGTACCTATCCCAGTCACGTGGTCCCTCCTGGCACATCTTCTTCAGCATGCTCTTTAAGACTCTATTGACTCTCTCACAAAGTACATTACAGCTGGAGTTGTATGGGGTGATAAAGAGCAGCCTAGTGCTGATGAGTCTGCACACCTCTTGTATCAATTATGAGGTAAACTGAAGTCCTCTGTTAAGACTTTTTTTGAAAGCCTACTCTACAGAACACTTCCAGGGGGTTTGTGCTACTTTCTCTGTCTCTATCTTTGGCATTGCTATGGCTTCTGAGTAACATGTCTCATAGTTGCCTACTATCAGCACGTACCAATTGCCCTAATCAAATATAGGTGCTAGTGATCTGATCAAGTCCACAGCTACTTTATTGAGTGGCTATTCTATGAGAGGCATCTCACCCAATGGCACTTTGGCTACCTTCCATCTAGGTACTGTCCTTTGGCAGATGTCACATGACCTGCAGAATCTAGCCACATCTTGAATGAGCCCCAGCTAATGGAAGTTTTTGTTTGACATCTTCTTCACTCTTAGGTGTCTTTCCACAATTGACTCGTGAGCTAACTTCATCACTTGAGTCCAGTATTCTGTTGGTACTATACTATGATCTGTTCAACATCCCCAGTAGAACTGCCTTGATAGATCTGGTACAGCATTCCTTTGTGGTCCTCTATTCTGTAAATGCATTTTCCCTCTGTCTTGTGCTCGACTTTCTCTCAGGCACTGTCCCAAAGTTTCTGCAGTAAAGGGTCTTTCTTCCTTCACTTCCTGATGACCTACATTTGAGATGTTACCTTTTGAGACTCGTAGGGGCTTGATGTCTTGCTTTTCGTTTCTTGAGCTCTTGTGGTAATAGCAGATACCTCATCAATCTCCTTTCTGTCTGTTTCCTTCAAACATATACTGTCTGGTATATTGCCAATCACCAAGTTGTAGATGGGTGCTTTCATACACATGACTTCAAGGTCTCCTACACAGCATGGAGTGTTTATCTTTATTCTTGCACATGCAGATGTACCTTGCCCATCATCTGGTCATCAGACACTATACTGGTCCTCACTGCTGCACCTAGTGTCTCGTAGGACTTTCACTTTTTTGTCACTGACATGTTATGGTTTGTTGGCACCTCTCGAGGTCAGTCACATACTCTGATCACTAGTGGCATTGTTGATCCATTTGCTAAGTTGAACTGACCACCAATCATGTACTGCTTCATCATGGTGATAGCACTTTCTTCTTGTGGTGAAGCTGCCACCAGCACCCATGGTGACAGTCACACTTTTCCTGTTTCTTGCCAGCACCATCTTTGTAGGTTGCTCCAGCTGCTTTATGTTGAGATTTCTGTTACTGCTTGTTGGTGACAGACATGCACTCATTTGCAATGTTTCCCATTCTATGATATGCATAGCATCTTTTCTCCCTTTGGTCTGTTGACTTCTTGATAGAGCTTTTGGTCAGCCATCCTTGGTTTTGACATTGACTGGTTATTCTTGGACTTGCCAGTTATACTCCCTCCATGGGTTTCCTTTACTTTTCTGCCAGCTTGATAATCTCACCCACAATGACATGTCAGTGGAGCATGTGATCATGAACTGTTCACATATTATAAGATCTACCGGTCTTTCTAAACTATCTTCACACTTGGGCATTTGCAACAGGTTACCTCCAGATGTGGTGGATGCAATTAATGTAAGAGAGTTGATAAATATTTGAATGATAAGGTCTGGCTTTGATTCTTATTTTTATTTTGAAGTTTAACTTAGTGGATGAGACAGCAGAGATGGACCAGCAGGTCCCTTGTTGTCCTTAAAATTATATGTATGCAGATTTCAAAGGAAATCTTCATTTTTTGGGCACCTATAGTGATACAAACCACTCAGCCAAAGTTTAAACCAAATCTTTGATTCTTGAAAAGCATTTTTACATATTTTCTCTCTATATTGATTTTACTAATAGCGTTCTCTTTACACCTGGACAGAAAGTCATCACTATAAGATAGCAGTAGATTGATCACCAGCGTTTCTGAACCAATTAAGACAATACTGTGAAATATATTTGCTTGCTTTCTCAAAAATTCACACAGTTTTTTTTATGTGTAACTGAAACACTTCTGTAGTAATTTAAAAAAGAATTAAATGATAGCACAAGTCTCAGAGGAATAGTAATTTTTTTTATTGTACAATTTTGTAAATATTTCACATATTAGACTATCAAAACAGCACAACAATGATGCCTTGTGGATTAATTATCACCAGAGGAATAAGTAATATAATTTCACCTCTTTAGCTCAATAACAACAACAAAACAACAACATTAAATTGTAGTGAAAAATCTGCTTCAAAATGATAAAACAATCTCATTTGAGCTTATTATTCATTATTATACAAACATTCCCAAAAGCAACAATTAGTAGAAACCTTAAAGAGAAATATATTCATTGGAAAACGTACCTCTGTTACAATACAGATTCTTTAGGTAATATACAACATTGTGTTAAGCCTGCATTTTTTAGAAAAACTTGCTAAATCACACACTATCATTTTATTTCTTTTCATGTTTGAGAAAATCCGTTGTTAAATAACTTACAATCAGAAGAAACATGTAAAAACCTGGATCCATTAAAGTACTCCAGAAACAAAATTAATTTTTGCTAAGACAAAAAACAAACAAACTTGCAAACAAAATGTAACAAATAGACCTCTCTATCCTTACCTCTCACTTTAAATGCCAATATTTTCTTTGTTTAAGAATGTACATTATTTAAAATTCTGGGGGAAAACTAATATTACCGAAACTATACGCCAATACAAAACTTCTACAAAAAAACAACAACATTTGTTTAAACAAATAGGTGATTCTTATTGTCTTCTACTGGTTTATCTTCTTCAGATTTATCAGCACCACCTGGTGTTGTTACTTCATCCACCCCTGTTGGCAAATCTTCTAAACAACTACTTTCTCCATTCTCGATGTTTCTTTTTACAGTATCGTACTTACTTTTTTGTCGGTTCATAAACTGCCAGATAATAAGACATGCTAGAAATGCACAGATTATGCCAGCAAGCATTATGTGCATGAGAAACATGGGTTTGCGCTCAATGTAGTGACCAACTACCAGAGGTACAATCATCTCACCAAGTGAGGTGGTTACAATGAAAGTAGACGTCACTTTATTAGTCATAACTATGTACCTCTCAACCCATGAGACCATGCTAGGGTACATCGATGCCAAGCCAATTCCAAGAAGCCCTGAACCAAGCCAAAGAACTTCTTCAGATGAGGCTGAAAATATCACGAGAAGTAGTGTGGCTCCAAGGACAATGAAAATATCTATCACTAACATAACTAAACTACTGAGCTTCAAAGATATAAAAACTGCCATGCCTCGTGCAAAAGTATAACTTCCCCAATAAACAGAAGTTATAAAGGAGCCTTTAGATTTGGATAGTTTCAGTGGCCCAACAACAGCAAACGTAGCAATCATCTGTCCATATGTGACCTCCAACCCAGCATAACAAATCATGAAAACAACCGAAACGGCGAGTACCATTAGAGTAAACCGTAATCCTACAGTTTGAGAACCTTCTTCGTTCTCTGTCTGATCAGTTATATCCGACTTCTTAATGATAAAGGCAATAAAAAATAAAATAAAAACTACAAAGGTGAAAACTCCAATTATAGCAAAGGCATATTCAATGCCAAAAATCTGAAATCTATCATGGATTTCAAAAACTGTGCCATTGTGTTGTTCTAATTCTCTGTTATTTTTTTCTGTTAAATTTGTTTGAAGCTTCCAAGAGAGTGAAGGGTCAGTCACGTTTATAGCTTCCGAAGTTCCATCAGTTGTGTTTGCTGGAATGAGAAATGGTTCTGCTAGTATTGGAGCTATAAGGGTCCCTACACCAAACGTAAAGTGAAGAGCCTGAAAGTATGGCCCACTTTCTTTGCCCCAAAGATGAAGACACCAACAATTTCCTCCTGGGAAGAAAAACAAAAAAACATTAAATACCTTTTATGTCATAATCAAAGCCCTTAATATAATTATCAATCCAATCAGGGCCATCTTAAAAGTATGGGGGCCCATAGGTCTGAACTAAATTTGGGCATTTCCTCACATAGTGCTAAGTACTACATATATTAATATAAGTGTAGCGGAGTCAGTTTAAACTAGGAAACTGTAATTATACAAGTGCTACACTGGTGAAAGTATTAACCTAACACACCAGTGGCCATGCTTCACTGGTAAAAGTATTAACCTATCACACCAGTGTCCATGCTTCACTGGTGAAAGGATTAACCTAACACACCAGTGTCCATGCTTCACTGGTGAAAGGATTAACCTAACACACCAGTGTCCATGCTTCACTGGTGAAAGGAT